CTCCCCTCCTCAACCTTTCCTTCCCACGCCTTTTCTTTTTTAATTATAATGTTTCTATTTTCTTCAACTAGTGAAAAAGTTACAATGTTTAATAATAATTGATAGGCACATATAAAATTATCGAGAACAAAAAAGAGTAACTAAAAAAAATAGACACAAGTAATATAGAAATAAAGTATCACATTAGCTTTAAATTTATGTTTAATAATTTTCTAATTATTATTTTTGTATTTATTTCTAAACACTATTATATTTAATAAAACATAAATTAGAATATCAAAGCATAATGTTTGAGAGTTTATGACCAAGCAACGATAAATTGTTATTCTCAATGTTTTAAAAAATAGTTTGAATCGGTCCATTGATAGGGAAACTGGTAAGTGAGCGATTCAACTAACGGTTTTATGCATATTTTTGGATCGGAATGAACCGGTTGATTTATACAAATATATATATATATATATATATATATATATATATATATATATATATAATATATATATATATATATATATATATATATATATTAAATCAATTAAATTGAGCCGGTTCAACCGATTAAGTTGAATAAAAACACACGAAGATAAAGTATTTTGCAAAACCAATTTAGGTGGTCTTTTCATATTTACTAGGTGTGAAACCCGTATATTACACGAGTTGATTTAAAAAAAATTAAACATTAAAGTGTAAACATAAATTTTTTTTTTTAATGTATAATTTTAAAATAAAGAAGATACATATTTATTGCAATTTAATATCATATATATCATATTTAATACTTTACATATATAATTATATGACTTTAATTTTAAAAAATTGAAATAAACCAAAAATTAACAAGTGGATAATATTTATTTCAAAAATACCACAAAATGACAAGTGTCAAAATTAATGAGAGGTTGACATGTGGCAAAAAAACCTTCATTTATTAAGGAGGATTTAGACTTCTTTTAAATTGAATAAAATCATATGATAAATGTTATGAAGCGTATATATTCTGTTAAAACTATACTTTGATTCAATACTATATTTTTTTTACGTATGTCAATTGATGTAAAACTTATGATTATATATTTTTTTAATGTATTTGGTGTGATCTACAACTTGTTTTAATGTGTATTTTACTGTTTGGACTTGTTTTTCTGTGTATTGTAATGTTTGAAATTGTGTGTTTATGTATGCAGGAAATTAAAGAAAAACAAGAAAAATTTAGATATCCGGTTGAATTGACGGTCAAACCGTTAAACCAATTGAAACGGGAACCGGTCACCATACCAATTTTGTAATGCCTCGACTCCCAGGTATTTGAATTTTGCATAAAAAATATCTTTTTTGACTTGAAACTCGTCGAGTTAATGGCCTCAACATGACGTGTAGGGAATTCTCTACTCGACAAGTTGAGATGGAAAACTCGACGAGTAGGAGCAGGAAAATGAAACCCTAAGTTGAGATTCGTCGAATACATGATTTCTCATTGCTAATAAGTATGGTGTAATCACCTATTTTTAGACAAATAAAATTCTTCAACCTGTTATCTGCTTTGGCATGGTCCGCAAGAAATCTCACATCATAGATCTATTGTTCTCGTCTTCATTCATAATGTCTATTACGTAAAAGTTGATTTACAAGAATCACATCCAATACCTACAGTTTTGTCACTTTGACATCACAACATATCACAACGTTCTGTTGGATGAGAAATATTATATAATACTCGACTTAATGCATATATATTCCACCGAATGCACCACGTAATAGCTGTAATATTCATGTAGTTGATGTTGTTGATAATTAATAAAATTAGAATATGATAGTGTTTGACAAAACAGTGATATATAAAAAATATAATTTTATTAATTATAGTTGTGAAAAATATCATATTATGTTTTTTATTGTTCGTTATATTTACTTACAATTTAAGGTTAAATGAACAAATATGAACAAATTTACATTAATGTTCGTTATGTACATTTTGCAGCCCGATTAATATCGTTAATATTAAATTTTAAATCAAAATTTAAATTGAAATATTATATGAAAATCCCTATAATAAAATTGATTATGTAATTATGCAAAATAAAATTGATTGTGTAATTATACATAGGTATACAAGATGAAATTGAGGTATTATATGTTAACGCGGTTTTTAAGCCCGTGCGTTGCGGCGGGAGTTTCGACAATAGTTGTGATATAATATGTTCTTTTGAACTTTAAGCTTCACACAATTTGTCACATATCTATCTTTTTAATATGGAATGCTATAATACCCAATAAATAAAAGTACATTGTTATTTTTTACATAAATATGACACTAAACCTTTGAACTTTAAAAGAAAAGAAACCAAAGATATTATGGAAGCATTCTATCATCATTAAAACATTTTTTAATGTTTTGTCCTAGTTTGGTTCACCACATTTATGGACCGCAACAAACATTTCCTTAACCTCAACAGCACAACAGGTCTAACGATTAGTTTTCCATAATGTATGTTCATAATCACTTTGTGTTCTTTTCATGTGAGGTGGAAAATTCTCACTCACTCCTGTTATTCATGTAAGAAAAAAAAATTAAACTAAATTAAAAAATTACAATATTATGTTCAGAAAAAAAAAATGAAATCAAAACAAACAAAAGTAATTATATGAAAGTATGTTATCATTTCACGCATTTAGCCCCCTGTTTAATGGAATATAGTTTGAAAAAGCAGCCAAATAAGAGAAATTTTTAAAGTACAATGATGTAATGGGAAAAATAAAAATACATTAAATGTTTAGATATTTCTTTAAGAATTTGATCATTTTAGAACAAAAATCATAGAAAATATCTCCATTGTAAGAAGTTGAGAAACAAAAGCAATGTACATATAAATTGAAAATACCTCCATTTTATATACCTTCATACCAGACCAACTATTGATAAAATCTTTGTTTAACTAAAAAAATGAAAAAAGTTATCACAAAGAAACCAAAGAACTCTGCCACATGTTGCAATGAGAAACAAATATATAAAAGGAATAAAAGTTCAAAAAATAAAATAAAAGATGACAAATATTTTGTTTTCTTATTATTTTAACAAAATGTAAAGAGCTAAAAAGCTTCTTTAACATTGGTTTAAAAGAGATTCTTTAGCAATGGTTCTCTAATAATGGTTTCATAAAATATAAAATTAGTTGGTTGGGTAACGATTGTAAAAATGGTAAATTACACAAATGATCCCTATGGTTTGGGGTAATTTGCAAATTTGGTCTCTAACTAATTTTTTTAATTTGAAAGGTCTCTATAGTTTGTTTTTGTTGCGTGCTTTATCCCTTTTACCTAAAAAAATCTATTTTGTCCTTGATTTTTTTTAATTTATTTAAATAAAATGAGATAGATAAGTTAAGGTAAAATGAGGTGGAAGTAGGGCCGATGTGAAAGCCAAGCACATGGTACCAATCCACAGGAGCAATACAATCCCTGAAAACCAGCAAACACTTTTGTTCTTTCCACTCTCCTCTTCCTATTCATTACTAAATCAAGAGTGCTTAAAGTACAATTCCACACCTTTAAAAAAAATAGATCAAGTAAAGCATACAACCACTTAAGCACTTATCCTTACAACAAATTTGTTTAATGCTTCACTTATTAAAGATAGATTGATAGAAACAAAGACTAATATGAACCATTCCCATTTTGATCTCATTAGGACAGCACATTTTCCCTAACACCTATAAAATTTAATTTATAAAAGACAATAATGTCCTTTGATTAACAAGATATTCCATATCTTCTATCATGCTTCAACTCTCGAAAGTGCTGCAGCAAAATTCCAAGCTGGTTAATGATATTAGAGTAAATTACACGAATGGTCCCTATGGTTTAGGGTAATTTGCATGCTTGGTCCTTAACTTATTTTTTTAACTCGGAAGATCCGTATGGTTTGTTTTTGTTACGCATTTGGTCCCTACTGTTTATTTTTATTACACGTTAGGTCCTTATCTTATCTAAAAATACTATTATTTAAAGAGGAAAAAATGATCGGGTAGGTGAGGTAAGGTGAAGGGGTGAGATTAGGGGTGTGTTTATTTAGATAAATTAAAAAAATCAAGGGCATAATAGTCTTTTTAGGTAAGATAGGGACCAACCGCGTAACAAAAACAAACAGTAGAGACCTTCTGAGTTAAAAAAATAAATTAAGAAACCAATATGTAAATTACCCTAAACCATAGGGACCATTCGTATAATTTACTCATGATATTAATTAATGCCTCTCTTTGATAACTTCAAACCATCCTATAAAATAATACAAGCTAATAGAAGCTTTAATAATCAAAAGAACTCATTTAGCATTCACCATGCCATCTTCTATATAAGCACCAAACCAAACATATGTTACACCTGGATGCCATCACATTTTCATTGCTGCCCCTGATCGCTTCACCTCCATGTTGTCACATTTCTATGTTCCTATAAAAAATAAAGAGAAGCTACAAAACCTTTAAACAAAATTCAAATATCAAGATTCCAATACAACACAATCCATATAATTTCCAAATCTTTACAATCTCTAAAAGATCAAAGTCACGAAAGTTAAATCGTTTATATCTCAAAAGCATCTACCTAAATAAATCAAATTCATATAGTAAAATTAATGGTTAAAATTTTAATTTTGGAAAAAAGATTGCAGTAATCATATATTATGTATGTAATATATTAAACAATTGGCTCCCTGAAACTGAAAAATTAATTAACAAAAATCGAGAAATACATAAAGGGAGGTGATACTTCCACGGATCTTTTTGATACATCCACTGAATTTTAAATGAAATTGATAATTATGCCCCTAATATGTATTTAGAATATAATTAATTATTCAAAGGAAAAGGATAATTTGTATCAAAAAAATTAAAGTATAATACGTCTATGCTGGTCCTTCTCCAACGTTGCAATCTTCACCACAATCTACCCCAAATTTCTGATTCTTTTTTACGGCAATCTTTAGCTTGCAATTCCTTCCAACTCTACTCAACTTGCTGATTGTCCCCTTGAACCACAATCTCCGACATAGTCCCGTATTCCGCCACCATCATTCTCACTGAATACCCTCCGCTGTTCCAATTCCTCATTTCAGATTGTTCGTACAGAAAAAGGAAGATAGTTAGGAAGAGCCGAAGAGGGAAAGAAAACTTACACCGATGGGCTGAAAACGATGAGGGGGAACTGGTTATTGCCGATGTATGGAACGGTGATGGTAAGCAGTAAGCACGAGGCCTACACTTGTGAGGCTGATACAAGTGCAAAACATGAGCAGTGCATTTGCCCTCTGCTCGGATTCAAATTCAAATCTGTTGCAAATTACATCAAATCGAAGATACAATAAAAAGAAAACCATCATAAACTCGAAGAAATTCATATTCTGGTGATGAATTATATGATTATTTTTTCTTTAGCCAACACTAAGAAATTGTTGCGAGCGAAAAAGGAAAGAATTTCTCCGACGATCTGTTTAGGCGCATTTTCTTTCCTTCCTTTTGTTCCTCTATGAATGTATATTGCACCACCTAAAAAAATTTCTCCGGCTACTGTTGCAGTCTCATGAAGTGGCGTAATATAGACGGCGACGGCATACACAAGCATAAACAAAGGGTTGTAAACGACAATTGTTTGCAACCTCATAAGGCGATGAGTAGATCTGAAGAGGATACTGTCACCTCTTCTACACCCCGTGGCTGATAATAGAGATTGGGAGCTTTCTCGTGTTTTTCAATTTGGATGGGAGATTGAGAGATTTGATAAAAGAATTGTTTCCTTTTTTTAATAAGTGGTCTCCGAGTATTGAGAGACGGTTGATTAACCTTTTTAAACAATTAATTACATTCTAAAGGGCATAGTTATCATTTTCCTTGTAATTCCGTGGATGTATCAAAAAGTGTCTTGGGAATATCAGCACCCATACATAAAAAGATATATAGTGTCTCTATTCACGCCCTAACCTAATTCCCCCTAAATTTCAGAAAATAATAATAATAATAATAATCAAATTTCAACATACCCATTAACCCAATCGGGCAAATGAATGAACCGGTGGAAAGAGGAAAAGGAGGCGATTTACCTGGCTAAATGAAATCGAAAGATAAAAATGAGAACAGAATGAACCTCAGCTACAAAAATTGACGCTCAAAAATGGTTTATATCTGTTTGAAAACAGAGCAATCGTAAAATCTAAAAACCCTATATCTGTGTGAGCACAAAAAGTAAAGTCCTCCATGGCTGCAAAAACTGATAGATGCAAGCGAGAAAAAAAAAAAAACTACCTAAAGTAGCCGTGAAGGTGAAGGATGAGGAGTCATGGAGGTTGTGTAAACTCGTTAAAACCCTACCTATAACAGAAGACGTAAGATGAAAACTGGGTTTGGGGAAGGTATAAGGCTGGAGGGTGTCGTGCCACGGAAAACGTCACGTCATTTTTACCATAAAATTGCGGTTCCTTACCACACCTTAGGAGTGGTGCCACACTTTATTTAAAAAAAAATAAATAAAAACTTTAATTTCTCCTCACCCAATCACAAAATAGTCAAATTACCCACATCCAATCACAAATCGCGGCCATTTTTTACCGCACTGCTGTTTGAACCGCACCAAACCGCACCCAGGGGCGGTGTTCGCTGCTTATGTGGCGAAACCGCACTCCCTGGAACCGCACCACACCCTCAAGCCTAATGTCTGGTATGTGAGTGAGTCCTAAAGAAGACGTGTGGAGAAAGAAGCACAGTATGATAAAGCATGTTCAAGCACAGTGTAAGAGCATTGTAGCGTGATGTGTGATGTGCTCTTATCTTCAGTCAAATAACATTTGATAAATGTTAGAGTTTATAATTCCTAGTATAAAATATTTAGTTTAAACTTATAAATTTAGTATATGTCAGACGGCTATAAATGAAAATGAAAGTTTTAATAAATTGGTATAACAACACCGTGTCTCAAAGGACCAACGATCTAACGGTAAGGAGAGATCCTCTCATAGGAGAGGTCATGGGTTAAAGTTTCGGTGGAATCATAAGTGGTTCTTATCAAATTGAGTTACTCAAAGTCAAAGTAGGTTTTTTGACCTTTAAAATGGTTTTTGATTTTAAAATCGGATGTATTTAAAATCCCCCATATTTCGCCTCTAATATTGTTGCATATAAAATCCCCATATTTCGCCTCTAATATTGTTGCATATATTGTTTTGTCGCTCCTAATATGTCACATCTAACAATTGCACATATATTGCTTAGTGTCATCCTCTTATTACTATCACCACTATTGTTATTTTTAATATCAAAACGAAAAATGAATAAAAATAGCCGGTAAATACAGAAACTTTGTAGTTAGTGCATAAACAAGAATTATATAAAAACGTATAAAATTCATAATGTATGTTAAAGTTATTTGTTACACAAAGACATCTACCGAATACAAATTAAAACAAAAAACTACTCATATGCATCATCATCGTTGTCCTCTTCATTCTTGCCCATTAATACATATATGGGAAAATGATACATTATACCTACTATATATTATGAATTTGCCCAATTATTTCCTTTAGCTATTTTCAATCATTTTGAGGGAACAAAGTTATTAGTTGCCTGTTTTTTAGACCCTCTACCTTGAGTAGTTAGTTTCATGTGTCCAGGTGGCTTTTTAGTTAACTAAAATAAATAAATTAAATCCACTTCACCTCTTTACTCTCTCTCTCTCTCTCTCTCTCTCTCTCTCTCTCTCTAAATTCTTCGTCTGTCTCGCAACTTTGAAGCTTGCTTCACATTGTCAACTATGAACAATCATCGCTGCCTATTGTTGTCGGTGCTTGTTGCGTTTCAAAACCCAAAATGTGGATAACCCATCTTCTTCTTCCTTTCATCTTCATCACCTTCATTGACAAAAATAAGTTGTGTTCATAACAAGATCAAAACTTTGAAGAAAACTCTACGATTTAACCTAGTACTGTTCTTGATAAGGATCAGAGCTCAATAGCCTCACCATCGGTAATACTTGCCAAAATTTTGAAAATTCGAATTAAGGAAGGTTATTAAAAATATAATTTGGAGAAAAATGATAGTTTTAAAATATTAAATTCATCTATATAAATTGATTTACATGTTCTCAAACAAGACATTGATAATAATAATTTACATCAAATGTATAAACAGATAATATAAATATAACTTCTAAACATAAATATTTTAAATAAAAATGAGAGCTTTTTTCATTACATAATAACTAATAATAATTTTCTCGTAAGAAAATTATATGCGAAAAGAGTTCTTTATCATTGCAAGAATGGTTCCTGTGGTTAGATGGAAATTGCCACTTTTGGCCAAAAAGGTTTGGGTTAGCATTGATGGTCCATAGGTTTGCATTTTGTTGCCACTTTGGTCCAAAACCTTAACTGCTGTCACTTTTCCCCCGTTACCATCCATTTGACTTGTCAAATGGAGGGTATTTTCATCATTTAATTAATAAATTCCTTTTAACGTATCCATCCCTTACCGCCATACGGATAAAAGCGTCGATCATGCTCACATTTATAGTCTTAATTACATAGATAGTTGTTTCCACTTCAATTTTCATTAACTGAGGATCAAGAACCCTAATCCTATTTCCATCTTGTGCGCTTCGATCAAGTGAGTTGATCAGTTAATGCAAGTTCCAATGTGGAATGTAAGGTTGTATGAGAAACCATTCAACGCAAGGGTGGTTTATGGTATGTATTTTTTATTTTGCTCACTAACTTGCCTTTTTATGTGAAATCCTCTCATCTGAAACTTCTTTTTTGTTCTTGTTTTGAAGATTGATACCCTACTCTGTTTACCATCAAGCTACATCATGGGGGAGAGTTCACAAAGTTTCTAGATGTGAACTACATTGATAGAACTGTGACATACGTTGACACGGTCGATATAGAAGAGTTTTTTGTTCATGAAATAGATGCCATCATGAAAGGGTTAGTACTCAGTTCCTCCAGTTATTTATTATCATTTTCGGTTGCCCAAACGAGACATGCATTTTGGACTACGTGCCCTAGGAAACAATGATGATGTTCGTAATCTTGCCCAATATGTGAAAGAGCATAAAGTCATAAGGGTGTACACTGAACACGGTTTTACAAAATTGCTTACTTACTTTATGGATCCTAAACCTGTTAAAAAGGTCACTATTGAGCAATTAGATGAAATTGAGGAACATGAAACCACCACAACTGATAACCAAGCTAGTGATAGGAAAAGGAGTTGGACCAAGGACAAATCTTTATCATTATCCCTTGTTTTACATAATGATGGTGCTTTGTCATTATCCCCTGTTTTACATAATGAAGGTGCTTTCTCATTATCCCCTTATTATAATAGGAAAAGGAGTTGGACCAAGTACAAAGCTTTGTCATCATACAGTAAGAAATTGGCCATGGGAGATGTTGGTGAAGCTAATGTAGATGGGGATAAGAATCATGCACCTAATGATTTTGATGAGGAAGCTAATGAATTTGATCTTGGATTGTACCAATAGATTTTAGAATCTAATTATGAATTTGATAATGTATTCAATGAAGAGAAGGAAAGGGAGGAGGTAGTTAATGAAGTTAGTGCTAATGTAGATATGAGGAATTATGAGAAGGATGCTAGAGTTAAAGATGATGTAGATATAGGGGCTTATCAGATGGATGTTGGAATTGAAGATGAAGTTACACATAATGTAGCTGAGGTTGAAAGAAGTGATGGAGAGGAGGATAGTGGTGAAAGAAGTGATGGGGAGGAGGATAGTGATGAAAGAAGTGATGGGGAGGAGGATAGTGATGACATTGACTTTTGGGTAGATGAGGATAACATAATTCCTGAAGTAGAGGTAGATATGAAGGATTTTTACATGAGTGTTGATTTGGAAGCTGAATTTATGGAAAAGAGAGTAACAAATCCCTTGCATAATGATAGTGATGAAGACCCTAAAGACCCTAAAGATTTAGATGTAATTGATAATGACCAATGTGATTTAATGGATGAGGGTTCTGATATGGAAAGGAAAAGGAGAATTTTATTAAAAGAATTAGGAAAGGAGACAAGGTGCTCTTAAGGGGAGATACATAAAGTTACTTTTAGGATAGGACAAAAATATAAAAGTAAAAAGGAGTTAAAGGAAAAAAATACAATTTTATGCATTGGAAACTAGGAGGAATATATTCTTCAAGAAAAACGACAAAAAAAGGTTAAGAGCTTTATGCAAAGGGACTGTAGTCTTTAATGAGGGTGATGTTGGTGAACCTACCCCTTGTCTTTGGGTGATACAAGGTTCTAGATCAAATAAAGATGGTAGTTGGATGATTAAAACATATAGCCACGAACACAAATGCTTTCATACAAGAAAAGTGAGATCTACAACTACAAAGTTCATTAGGAAGCAAATAATAGATCAGGTTGAATTAAACCCAATAATCCCTGTGAAAGCTTTATAAGAGCAACTACAAAAGGAATATCAAGTGGGTTTCTCTATACATCAGATTTTCAGGGCTAAATCTAATGCAAAAAAAAAAAAAAAAAAAAAAGTGCAAGGGGATTACAGAAAACAGTATGAGGTTCTCAGAGATTATATCTTAGAGTTACAGTCTACCAATCCAGATAAAACTGTGAAGTTAGAATTTGAGTCTGAACCCAACTCCAATGCCACCTCAAGAAGATTTAAAAGAATTTATGTGTGTCTGGGTGGAATGAAGAAAGGGTTTAGAGCTTGCTTGAGGGATTTTATTGGTTTTGATGGGGCATTTATGAAGGGACCTTTCCCAGGACAGATATTGACTGCAGTTAGGGTAGACTCAAACAATGGAATATCCCCCTTGGCTTATGCCATTGTTGAGTCTGAGAATACTCAAAGTTGGAAATGGTTTCTTGAGATTTTAGGAGATGACCTTGACCAATATGTAAACTCAAACTTCACATTTATAAGTGATAGAAAAAAGGTATGTAATTGGTATTAAATTTACTACATTTTCATGAAATATACTAACTATGTTTTATTTCCATTACAGGGTTTACAGGCAGCCATTGCTCAGTTGTTTCCATGTGCTGAGCACAGATATTGTCTCAGGCATATACATGATAATATGAAGAGAACATGGAGATCCAATGAACACAAAGAACACTTGTGGAATTGTGCCACAACAACAACAGTCCAAGAGTTCAACCACTTAATGAATGAATTCAACTTATTTGACAAGGATGCATATAATTGGTTGAAGCAGATCCCCCCCACAACACTGGGCAAGAAGCCACTTCACAGATAATTTCCAAATTTGCCCCTGAGGTGTATTACTTTGTTAGTATACTGTCTTGCTTACTATTTAATTTGTTTTTGACAACATTTCAGGGAGAGAAATACCAGATATGCTTTTGAACAATCTTTGTGAAGTTTTCAATAGAAAATTTGTTGAAGGAATGGATAAGCCACTAATAACTTACTTGGAGTACATCAGGGAATACATGATGAAAAGAATTTGTAATGTCATCAAGGTGCAAAATAAGTGTGTAGGGCCTCTAACTCCTTCTGCAACAAAGATTATGGAAAAAAAATGTTTATTTG